TGGAGGGGGGGTGGGGGTGGAGGCGTTAGAGCGTCCAAGATGGCTCAAGATGGCTCCAAGAGGTGCTCTAAGTCGCAAGATGGCCTCCAAGATGGCCCAAGATACCTCAAGATGGGTCAAAATAGCCTCCGACACACCTCCAAGAGTCCTCAAGACGGATCCAAGTGCCCTTCGAGCCCTCCACGGCGCCCTCCAAGAAGCCAACACCCTTCAAAAGCCTAAGGGAAGTCAATGTGTTTGGCATTATCGTCTTTTCGCTTCCGATGGGCCCCTGGGGCATCAAGATGGCCCCAAGATGGCCCAAGAGAGCCCCAAGACGGCCCCAAGATCGCCCACGAGGCTTCCAAAGAGCGCTCCAACACGTCCCCAAGACGCCGTTTGAGAGCCTCCGAGGGGGGGACATGAATTGAGGACCCCCGTTCTTTTTGAACAATGGGGCCCAAGACGGCCCCGAGAGGCCTCCCATCCTCTCCTAAAGATTCTCCACCCCGCCCTTTTTGGCCCAAGATGGCTCCAAGAGAGCCCTAGATAGCCCAAGATGGCCTCCAAAATGGCCCAAGATAGCCAAACATGGCTCAAGATAGCCTCCGACAGATCTCCAAGAGGCCTCAAGACAGCTTGAATATGGCCCGACATAGCCGAGCATGGCTCAGAATAGCTTCCGACAGCCTCTAGCCGAGCATGGCTCAGGATAGCCTCCAACAGGCTTCGGGAAAGCTGGCAATCAATTCTGGACGGGCTGGTGGGGATATTTTTTTTGGTCGGCGGCCGCGCGACAACGGTCCGGCGGCAACATGCGATGTCCGGGACGGCGGTACAAAGCTAATTGCACACGAAGCGTGCGGTGCACGTGCACAGAACAAAATGATCTAATTCACCAGCAAACGCACATAGGCGCCGCAGTGAGGACCGAAGTGGACATGCGGCAGAGTGTGCGAGTGCAGCGGAGTGAGTCGCCAGGACGGCGCCAAACTCCACCGGGCAGAGCGCGGTGCTGAACCATTAGGCCAGGCCCTCAGATACTCAGTGCCACACCGCGGACACTCGAGAGGACGCCAGCGCTGCCTGCCAGGGGGGTACCTGCTGAAGTGGGGCAGCTAGCCGCCGCAAGAAACCATGTACATATGGCTCTACTCGCCGAGAGCACCTGCGCGGAGAGAGGGGGGTGCAGCTAACCGCCGCGAAGCACCATTTACATAGTGGGGGTCTGAATGCAGGGGCCCAGACCTGCCACCGAATAGCGCCGCTGTGACTCCATTGGAGGGCAGGAGTCCAGAAGGTGCCTCCGCAAGACGAAGCGAGCACGGGCCGGGGGCGAAGAAAGGCCCTTGGCAGCCAGAACGGGGATGCGAGGGTGCCTTGACCCCCCGCGGGAGGCCCCAGGCCCGAGGGACAGCAGCCGCCACGTGCGTCCAGGGCCGGTGGGCCCGGAGGCATCCCTCCCGCAGGCCGCGTTTAGCAGGGCAGCAACGGGCCTGCTGCCAGTGACCATCCTCCTGGCTGGTGGGGATACTTTTTTTTGATCTGCGGCCCAATTGACGGCTCCAGAGGGCGGGTCAATCTCGACAGGGGCGCAAAGCGAGACGAGTGTGATGGGGATGGGGATACGCGAAGCGTCAAGGATTGAGAGGAAAGTCGGCGGCCGCATGCTGGAGGACGGGATGCTGACCTGTTAGAGGCTGGGAGTCCCGCGAGCGAAGCGGCAACACGATATTGAATGAGAGATGTGGCCAGCGCCTCGGCGAGAGCACAGGGCCCAGTGAAAGCTGTCTTCTGTTTCCGCCGTTTGCCCTCCCCTCCTGCTCCTCCGTGCCCTCCTTCCGTCTTCCTGGGGCCCCTCCTGTTTCTCGCAATCCTCACCGTTCCTTCCTCTTCCTCCTTTTTCTCCTCCGTCCCGCCTCCTGCTCCTTTTACTTCTCTGCCACGCGGGCCCATTCGGCGCGCGGGCCAGCCGAGCCAAGGACGACGGTTCAGGTCAATAAGAGTGTAATGAATTTGACGGCTCTAAGACTGAGTGGAGTTCCTGTTGGTGCTTTTGTATACCATCGGAGGCCTTCTTGGGCTGTCCTGGGGCCCTCGTGGGCTGTCTGGGGGGGCTTGGGCCGTCCTGGGGCCGTGTTGGGGCTCTCTCGGGCCCTCTCTGAAGCATCCCGTGGCTCTGTTGGGGCCCTCTTGGAGGTCTTTTAGGGGTCTTTTGGGCGCTCCCTGGCATTCTTGGCGATTTATTGGCCCATCTTGGGGGCCCATTGGGCCGCCTGGAGGCCATCTCGGGGCGACCTCGGAAGCTCGCAGACCATTCTTGGGCCGTCCGTGGCCAGAAAAGGCGAGAAGCACAGTCGTTCAAAAACCAATGGAAAATTAAGGTTTTTGACTTGCTGAGGCCGTATTGGAGGTCTTTGCGGGGGCACCTTGGGCCGTCTTGAGCCCATGTTTGGTCCTGTTGGAGCATTCTGGGGCCGTCTTGGGGCCTCTTGGGCCTTGCAGAGGACGTCGCGGAAGTGCCTTCTGCTGTCTTGGGCTCCCGATGTAGGCCTCGTGTCGCTCTCGTCGGGGTATTTGGGGCCGCCTCGAAGCATTGTGGGGCTCTCTTGGGGGCCTGTGGGGTGAATGTGGGGTCCATGTGGGGGGGGGTGTCGGTGACATGCCGGGCTTTTCCTTGTAATTTGATAGGTAGAAGCAATATATAATCTTCCAGACGCGAGGCTGTCAAGGGGGGGGGGCCCGACATGGGGCTCCCGAAGGGCGTTCCGCCCTGGTCGCCGGCGAAGGGCGTCACCGCGGCGCCAGGGCGGGAACGAACTGGCCTGGCCCCTCGAGCCTCGCACACAGATCCTCTCCCTCTGGCCCTCGGCCCCATGCCCACTGCAATCGTACCGGCGCTCCCCCGCGTGATCCAGATCCTCCCCGCCTCCCCGATCTCCCTTCGGGGATGGACAGAACTCCCTTTAGCAAAACGTGGTCCAGTGAAGACGACCTCGGGCCCAAACCTGGCGGGCGCAAGCCTGGAAAACGACTGCCGCGGCGCCCCCTCGAGAACCGACCACGGACACTTCACTACATCGACGTGTCGGGGCGGGAGTTCTGTCCGCCCCCCGACCTCCCTGAGCCCACTCCCCCCCCCTGCTGCGCGCGCACGAGGGGGCCACGCTGAGCCACGCTGCTGCGCTTCCCCCCCCCGACCTCCCTGAGCCCACTTCCCCCCCCCTGCTGCGCGCGCCCCTCGGAGCCCTCGCTCCGCCCGTCCAACCCTGCGGCGCAAGAGGGGGGCGCGCCGGGCGCCTGCCGCCTCCGCAGGCTCGACTGGTTCCTGTGCTTGCGGTGGTGCTTGTGCTTGTGGTGGTGCTTGTGCGACCTCCAGCTCTCGCCATCGCTCGGACGTCCATTCCCTGTGCTTTTTTCGGTTTCGTGCGTGGCTGTTTCGCCAAATGATCACGGATGCTCCTCGATGGTCCTCGCCGAAGGAAAAATGCACATGTCCGAGCGATGCCAAGAACTGCTGGGCAAAGATCGGGCATCCAAAGGCGGTGGCATGCGCCGGCTGCAGGGGAGGATCAAATTGCAAAAGCTTGCCAAGCGTGCGCACATCGGCTCAGCACATCGAAGCTAAAGAGAACCGCAGTTGCTGAGCCGAGGCCGACCACATCGCTGGCCCAACCCGCGCGTCTGTGGACAAGGAGACACATCACTGCGCGCATGGCGGCCTTCAGCATGCGAGCCATGAGCGATTACGCGACATACGCTGATAACCCCATGCGTGAACCAGACTAATTACTGGGCCAGGTCTGATACACCGAAGTGGACATCCCCTTGCGCCCCTGCAAGCACAAGCATCGCCTTTGCGGTCCGCAAAATCTCCCCTGTACAGCGAGAGCGCTCCATTGCCCATGGAACTCCATCTCCCATCTCCCCCCAACACTACAATCATGGCATGCCATCGCGGCCGAAAGTACATGACTAATTCTCCTGAACCTTACTTCGCCACCGCTGCAATCAGGGCGCACCCCAAACTGCTTTCAGTAGAATTCACATCATCATCCCGATGCTGATGTCTGTGGTGTCTCTTCCCCTGACGCCAGGTAAACTCGGACAGATGCACGCGAAGAGGATCATCAACAGAGGGAGACAGTGCACGAACAGCTGAGATGCGCAAACAACTGATCATACCATGTTCATCAGCACCAGGTAATGTGCGTACCAACTTTTTGGCGGCGATGCAACATCAGAGGGTAGACCTGGTCGAACATCTGCTGGATGGACAACCGTGGACAACTAGTCCCACAGATCCTCCCCATACATTCGACGACATGATTTCCCCACAACGTGATGTAATAACTTGCCTTTAAGACCGAATCGAGATTTGCCGGCCCAAGGGCCCCGTGACCCCCCAAAGGCCGAAGACTGCCGAAAACATCCCGTTATGATGCGTTCACGACGCGAGGATGCACGAGGAGGCCAAGGCCTGGGGATTTTTGAACCCGCCGGCCCCCGCTTGCCGGCGGTTGAAAGGCGTGAGAAACATTTGGCTGTCCTCCTCACCCCTTTACCCCTCCCCGGGAGCCCCAAATCCAGTTTAACAGGGGGGTCCCACGTCCCCCCCATCGGGGGGGCCCAGAGCTAAGCTAGCTCAGGCTGGGCTCCAACACGCTGAGGCATCCTCACAAACAGCCCAGATGGCCCCACGCCAGCCCACCCACAAGGCTCCAAAACCCCCCGCGAGGGCTCCAAAGAGTACCCCCAAGAGGCAGACATCGTCCCAAGGCCTTGGGGAAACCTACATATGAAGCCTATGGCTGTTTCCGTCTGAGCAGCATCCAAGACGGCTCCATGGTGCACCAACATCGTTCCAAGATGGCCCCAGAAGCCTTCGAGAGGGCCCAAGGACGTTCTGAGAGGGTCCCAGGACAGCCCGAAAGGCGCTCAAGACGGCCCCAACCAGAGCCCTGAGAGGGGCAACTCGAAGTGACATGTCGAGCCATCCGCCCCAAGAGAACCCTCGAGACCGCCGGCCGGCGCCTAAACAACCTGGAGGCCTCACCTAGGAGGCCCCGAGGACGCACCGAATTGCCCGTGCGAGCCCGAATTGCCCGTGCGAGCCAATGCAGTCAGCCCAGTGGTCCGGATGACTTCTGTGATCATTCGAAACTCTCGTTCTCTTCTGGGGGTCGGCAGGACGGCGTAGGCCTCGAAAATCGGGGTCTCAGTCCGTCCAAAGTAATCGCTCTTCCCCACTCCCTCCCCAGTTGACACCCCCGCGAGGCTCTGGACGGGAGGCGCGCTGCGTCAGACCGCTCGGGATGCACACAGTTGGCTCCATGATGGCCCAGAATGAGGCAACATTTGTAGAAGAAAAAGCTGCGTAAACATAACCTTTCGGAACTCTGCTAAGATTTATTGAATCTGCGCTGGACCCCCTCCCGGGCGCGCTCCGCGCCAAGGGCGGCGCCGGAGGCGCTGCCAGGCGGGCCCCAGCGCCGATCAAAAAACAAATCCGCGCGGAGCTCGACAAACTTGTGTATGCCGTATGCCGCTTTTCTTCTTCGAAACATGGCCTCCAAACTGGGAATGGGCCAAGTTGACCCAGCATGGCCCCAAGATAGCCCAAGAGGACCCAAAGACCAACCCAGAGAAACCACGAGTGTGCCCCGAATGACACCAAGAGCACCCCGAGAGGGCGCGTTTGCTCGGGCTTCTGGGTCTCACCCGAACCCCCGAAGACTTCATTGTCTGGACAAGGATCATGTACGAATGTCCGCAGTAAATAGTTCCCCTGATTGGGGACTGACAGAGGGGGGAAACCATCGAGCTCGAATCGGCAATACTTCGCCGATACCTCGGCGATAGGCCCCTGACAAGGAGTCCCCACGCGCCTGGGAGGGGTGCGTTATCGGGCCCCTGCCGGCGATGAGTGGACGACTTCGGGTCGGCGCATCCCCCCCCCAAGCCCACCCCCTCCCTCCAACGTTGCCCCTGGTCCTCTCATCACACTCGCGTGAGCGCCCACGGCAGGAGGAATAAGCGATCTTGCGCGGTTGCTCACACGGGCCGCCATCGTGGCAGCTTCTGGGCAAAGGCTGTCGCAGACGGCCCCACCTTCGTCAGGACGACGCCTTGTACACACCGACACTGTCGGGGATGGACAGACCCCCCTTTAGTAAAACGTGGTTCAGTGAAAACGACCTGAGGCCCAAACCTGGCGGGCGCAAGCCTGGAAAACAACGGCCACGGCGCCCTCTCGAGAACCGACAACGGACAATTCACTACTCGACGTGTCACCGTTGGGGGTTCTGTCCACCCCCGACACGGATCCTGGCTGAGCCCATCCCGGGCCTGGTAGCGGCGTGCACGTCCAGGACGGCGTGTACACAGATCGTGGCCTCAAGATGGACCTCGCCCTCACTATCGCTCGGACGTCCATTCCTCGTGTATTGTTCGATTTCGTGCGTGTTTTTTTTCGCCAAATGATCAAGGATGGTCCTCGATGGCCGTCGCCGAGAAAAACATGCACACGTCCGAGCGATGCCAAGCGCCAGGATCAGTTGAAATGTCGAGCTGTCGTCGTCCGATGTGTAGCACACGTGGTGGCGAGGCGAAGAAGCAGCAGCGCGCATGAAGCGCTGGCAACTCCCAAGGCCCCGGCGCCTTGTGGGAAGTCACTCTCGCGGACTCCGAACTCGCCTCCGGCGCGCGCGCGAACATGTGGCCTCTTTCACCCATGCCTCGTGTTGCAGCCGTCATACGCAAAAAGCACCTGCGCACCGCCAGCATGCATGACCAGGGCTACTCTGGGCCCTATAATGTGGCATGCAGCGCGACAAAAACAAACAAACTGGGGTGCGCGGTAATGATGCGAGGACCTTGGACGCCCAGCCAGCGATGATGACTAAGGACGGGGCCGAACGTGCATGAAGGGCTGGGAAAACTACGATCCTGTTTGACTATGCGCCCCCCTCCTGGCCTCAGCCAAGGGGGCGTGCATGCATCGTCCTGGGGCTCAGGATGTCATGAAGGGGCCCTGGGACACACAAATAGATAGACACAAATAAACATATTCCCCATATTTTCCCATATTTTCTCAGTTTTTGTGCTCCCCCCCACCACTTCCCATATTTTTCTATATTTTCGGAAAATCGACGATTCATTGTGTCTGTGTGTTTTTTCCCTCCTGATGTCACCACGCCCTCTTTGGACTCCACCTCCGGCTGCGCTCACAGCCATCACTTGCGTCGCACGGAGGCAGGGCAGGAGACTGCGGCACCCTGGCACTCCCCCGCCCGCCTCGCGATGTACCCTCCCCGCCCGCAGATGAACCACCAGGGCCGCGTAACCCTGCGCTTCGTTCGGGAGCGCGCTGACATGGATTACAGTCGGGGCGTTGACCTAAGGAACCCTAAATAAGGAGCGAGGCCCTTTTTTCCAAAAGTTAAACTTCGATTTCGTATCGAAAACATAAGGGAAACCTGAGGCAAGCTGTGAAACACTTAAGGAACACGGAGCCCCTCCCCAACGAACAGGATTCCTTCTTCAGGGCCCCGACTGTAACCCTGCGCTTCGTTCGGGACCGCACTACCATGGATTAGGGCTACGTGGATTGGGCGCGGGATCGCCGCATCCATGGATCGGGGAGGGTGCCCCCGAGGCACGGCACCCGCGCCGCGCCAAACTGGGTGGCGGCGCGCGCGCCGATGTCGCCTGGAAGCGGGCCCCGCCGCTGCTGCGCGGGCCTTAGTCCGTGCACGTGCTTCCTCGCCTCGCGCCGCACAACCAAAAGCGCGACTCGCGCTGGCCTTGCCGTCGCTCGGACGTCCATTTCCCGTGCATTAGTTTGGTTTCGTGCGTGTTTTTCGCTCGATGGTCCAGGATGGTCCTCGATGGTCCTCGCCGAGAGAGAATGCACACGTCCGAGCGATGCCAAAGTGGCCTTCACCGCCCGCCCCCGGAGCCCGGGCGGCTCCCCGGGCCGCGCTGCGAGGCGCGGCGCGCAGCCATTTCTCGACGCCCCGACGGGTGGCCTGGGCCTCTCCCCCTCCCCCTCCCTCTCCTCCCTCTCCTCCCTCTCCTCCTCCTCCTCCTCCTCCTCCTCCTCCTCCTCCTCCTCCTCCTCCTCCTCCTCCTCCATCTCCTCCTCCTCCTCCTCCTCCTCCTCCTCCTCCTCCTCGCATCCCTGATGACAGCGGCTGTTACGATCCTCGAGATCATCCCGCTCACTTCAGCAAGGGGCATCAGTTCGTTCCTCGCCGTGGATGCCGAGCCCTCACGGGCGGACCCGAGGAGGAGACCCACTTGAAGTGATCGCCACCACGATCACCGTGCCGCTCCGTAGACTCACAGCCGCTCTCCAGGCCTGCGGGGCGCGGAGAGGCCTGCACCCCGAGCCGCCTCTCGACGGCCCCACGGCCCGGCACGGGGCAGGAGACTGCCGCGAGCAGCCTCCCGCCGCGACCTCTCTGCGCGGCGCGAGGCCCTCGGGGGGGAGGGGAGGCGGGAAGCTGCCCCCCACCCCCGCGCCCTCCTCGAGGGGGCCCTCCCCGAGGAGCCCCTTCGGCCCCCGAGGGGCCGGAGAGACCACCGTCGGGGAGGCCACGTGGATGGTCCGTCTTCCGGGGATGCCCCCCCCCCCCAAGCCTTGGAGGGGGCATCCCTCCAGGCCTTGGGGGCCCGAGGACTCTTCGGCGCCCTGGAGTCCAAGGCGCCGAAGAGTCCTCGGCCCACCATGGAGTATCGGGACCATCCATATCCAGGGTGTCCCCTCGAGGAGTGCCACCTCCCCCTGAGATCCTCGCAGCAACCGAATGGCGCAATTCTGCGTCTGGAGGTGGCGTTGTCGCGCGCCGTGCCCGCTCGCTCCTGCGCTACTTCGCACGATTGGTATGAGTCTTACCACGCCTCCGGACACGCAGCGCTGCGTCCCGACCAGCCGAACGTTGCCTCTGAGTGGTGCTGCGGTGCGACGGCCAGTGTGCTTTGTTTCCCAAGGAGCCTCTCCTCGAGGAACAGTCCTTGGACATCTGAGGACAGCACAACCCACCCCCACCTCCATCCCCACCCCAAGCCAGGACTTGAGCGCGAGTGAATGGGGGGGCGATGAATGGAGGGAAGGAAGGTGCCCTCCTCGGGCCCGGAAGGCCCCCTTCTGGGCCCCTTCTGGGGGCCCTGCAGGGCCCCTTTTTCTGCAGCCCGCGCTGCCCCCCCGAAGTTGTCGCCCCCCCATTGCAGTCGGCCTTGACTGGACAGGACACGCGAGAGGACGCAATACCCTTCCGAGGGCCACATCGCCATAGGAGTGCAAGAAGGCACGCGTCGCGAGGCACAGGACACAAGGGTGCCCTTGAGCTGGCAGGGTCGACCTGCTCATGCGGGCCGACTGTGCGCGTCCTCCAGAGGACCCCCGTCCCAGAAGCGGTCTGTCGGCGGAATCAGTGAGGGACGCGGGTTTTAACACCTCCTGGGGTTTCCCGGGATGTCTCTCGGGGGGCCTCCTGGCAGCACTTTTGAAACCTCCTGGGGCCCTTTGTGGCGGGCCCGTGGGGGCCACCTCCCCACCCCTCAGCCAGGACCCCCTGGGTCTCCAGGTCGGGGGTGGCGGGGTCCTGGCTGGGGGGTGGGGGGGTGGGGCTGAGCGCTGTCCTCGACGTCGCGCGTGCGCCACATCCAGGGACGGCGCACGGCGGCGTCGCTCGGTGCTCCGCGGCGCAGGGCGTCGCGCGCGGCGCGGACGGGCGCCGCAGGAGGGGCGGGCGAAGAAGCGAGGCCGCCGTGCCGCCGAGGAGCCGAGGGGAGCGGGTGAGGGCGAGGAGGACAGGCGACAGGGCCGGGCTTACCCCGACATCCTGGCGTCGGGGAAACTCTTTTTGATTCGCGGGTCGAGAGCGCACCTCTTCCGGTCGAAGCTGAGCGGGCCGCGCAGAGCTTGAATTACGCCGAGAAGGGGGAGGAGAAAGGGGGCGCAGCCTCAGGACGAGGCCGGGGCGTCGGGAAAACTCGCGACGGGCGATTTAGGGCAATGTTTGGTGTCTGTGGGCCCTAGCCGGGTCCTCGGGGCCGTCAAGGAGCTGCCAGGGAGGAGAGGTCGGTCCCAGGAAGGGGTCGAGCCGCGATGCGAAAAAAACAAGAAGTCGGATGTCTGCGGAAGGTTGAGAGCTCCGACACACCCGGTCTGATATCCGGATGAAAACTTCAACCCGCAATTTGTCCAAGGGGGATGTTAAATCCACCACCGTGAAATTGGCACGTTTATATGGAAATTGACTGACACATTGGACCAGAATCCAAATTCCAGATTTCCAGATGTTGTTCTTCACCGTGGCGCGTTTCCGAGTCAAGGCGGCCCCAAGGGGTCCAAGAAGGGAAAGCCCGCACGAATACTTCGAGCTCTCTTCCCCCAGATGTGCCCCGAGACTTCTGGCGGGCCTTCCAGAGGCCTCAGAGCGGCCTCCAGAGGCCCATACGAAGCACCCAAGAAGCTCCAAGAGTCATCCAAGAGGCCCCTTTTCCGCGGTGGTGGCGAGATGGGCTCAGGGCCACCATATACCTTCTGCGCGACCGCGAAAACGGCCAGGCCAATCGCAACAGCCTCCTCGCCCAGCCTCCTCCCACGGGAAGTCGCCTAGGTCACTGGCTCGGCAATGTGCCTGCGTGCGATGAGCGGCACCCCATGCACATGACATTGCGAATGTAGTCAGCTGCTCAGGAGGGGGAGGCCCTCCTTGCCGTTGTCGTATTCCTCCGCCGTCTTCTGCTCTCACTAATTACCTCCTCCTCCTCCTCCTCCTCCTCCTCCTCCTCCTCCTCCTCCTCCTCCTCCTCCTCCTCCTCTCCCCCCTTGAGCAGGCGATCGGTACTGTGCCCCCGACCCCCGCCTCTCCTACCCCTTCTCTTCATCGCACATCTCCTCTCGTCCCCCTCTCCCCCCTCCCCCTCCTCCCTCCACCCCCTCCCCCTCCCTCCTCCTCTCCCTCAAGACGAACAGCAGCAGGATGCAGTTGCCCTAGCTGCTTGGCCCATCGCGGAGCTCTGGTGAAACCTGGCCAGCCACCGGCTTAGAGCTCCCAGTACAGTGCTGTGACAGACCGCGCGGTGACCTCGAAATCCAGAGAGACCTCACCGCACGGTCGGTCACTGCACGGCCTCGGGACCCACCCCCCATTGAACCCATGCAGGCCCCGCCTGAGATACCTCCGGAGAAGACGCAGGCCCCACAACCAGGCGGCCACCCCGAACCCCCATTGACTAGCTTGAAGGTGTACAGTGAAAACGTATAGTAGAGACGCGTGGTAAGGACGCAAGACCCTTGGAGGCCGAAGTTGAAGTATTCTGGGCGGCAGGCGGCCAACCCCCCAGGGACGCAAGGGTACCCTAACCCACCCCCGTCCTTGACTGCATCGCTAAGGGAACGCGCCGCTGGGCGGCCGAGGGACAGCGCCCGCCCCAAGGGACCCAAGGGCACACTTGAAAAAGTCGTTTGTCCTTACCATGCGCGTTGTCTGTACAACACGGCGTGGCCGCCGCACCGTACTGGGCCGATCATCCCTGACAGGAAGTCCAGGCGTCCTCCGATGTGATGTTTCCAGTCCGCGGCCCCGCCCCTCTCCCCCGGGGTGCTTTTCGTCCCAGAGCGCCCCCCTCCCGTTGGGGTACTTTTCGGCCTAGTCCTGGAGACCGACAAGTGGCCCAAGAGGCCGAAATCCAAGAAAATTGCCAGGATTGCAAAACATCGGATCAATCCGCATGGCGTCGCCGCAGCCATTCTGGTGCACCCCCCGTCGTTTGGCACCATTCGGGAGCTCCACCGAACGCCCCAGCGAGAGGGTCCGCGTGAAACACGCGCGGCCACCAGCATCCAGCAGTAGCTGGCAGCAGCGAGACGCAGCTACGCGGCCATTCAGACTTCCAAAGCTGCGCCCAGCAATTGCTACATCATCCGGCTTCTGGGCAGCCAGGTTGTTCCCAGCGTACTTAAGGACCACATCCCATACATAATTTCGAGCGCCCGGAAAAATGTCGAAACAATGTTTGCCCGACACGCTAGCGAAATGTCGCCTCCAACGGCCCGACACGTGAGCACCGTTCAATCTTGGCGTTTTTTCTGGCGCTCGACATTCTTTCTGGTGATCAAACCTAGAGTAGGTCGGAACATCATAAGATCGGGGAAGGAAGATTGAGCAGGGACCGACCGCCCCGGTATTCCTATAAGCCCATCACGACATGTTCTTAGAACCCCAAGCAGTTGTAATAACAGAAACACAGTTTCTTACAACATGCACCCGATGTGCCAAAACGAGACAGTCTCAGCCAGCAATGTGGCATGTCTTGCAGACCAGCAAATGTTATCAGAACATTCTTCGATGGGCCTACAGGCCAGCAGGAACGCAACGCCAGCAAGAGCAGCCCGCCCGCGCGGCGCGTGGCCGCCGGCCTCGCCGGAGGAGAGCAGGCTGCTGGACGGGGCGCCCGCCGCCGCGGCCCGCGCCGCCCGGGCAAGCGGCAGGCCCAGCAACACCGCC